CGCGAGGGTAAGGGCGGGGTCGGTTTTCTTCGTCGAAGGTTCCGATAGTTGCCTCCTCCAGATTCCAGCGAACTGTTTCCGCTGCAGGCATAGGTCGCTCTTGTTCCGCCATTCCAAGCTCTTCAATTTCGGTCCCGAAGATGCGGTGAGAGGTGACAGCCACTTCCATTTCTTTCATTCCTTCTGGCTCTGTCTTGGTGCTTTCCGCTTCTTGAACTGCCACAAAGTCTCGTTCAACCTCTTCTGTGCGGCTCGCCGTGGGTGTGAAACAGGTGGTGCAGAGTCCGTCGGGTCCGGGTTGGTGCAGATTTATCTCACGAAGGTGAAGACTGCAGTGGATCCAGGGCCGTCCATCCGGATGCTGACAGGATTCTTTGTTCATGCGCGCAAATTCCAGAGGATCGAGGTCCACGAGTTCGTCCGACGATGCTCTGAAGTCAGGTATGTCAAAGTCGAGCACGTAGAATCCATCGATCGAACGCGCTCTTCCGAGATGTTTGTGTGTTTCGGCAGGTGTGTCAGGAGGAGCGAAGGTGAGGATGAGGTCGTGCGTGTATGGATCTGTGAAGAACATGACTCCACAGACAGAGAGTTGTGCCGCGGATAGCAGGTTGAAGCGCAAATCCGGCACGTAGAGCACGACATTGAAGGTGATGTGTGTGTTGATATCTCGTGCCTGCAGCACGACGATGCCTTGTGTGGCGCGCAGTTGGTCGTTACTTGTGGTTGGTAGCGTATGGATCCCACCATGTGTTGGCCGCAACAGCTGTCCAGGTGCCAGGTATTGTGAGCGGCATTGTTGTTGCGCAGAAGCAAGCCGAGGTGTGACGATAGTCGACTGGTATCTTCTGAGGAAATGTTCATCCTCTCTCCATCCCTCAGGAACGAAGCGCTGGTGGACTTTCTCTTAGCTATATTGGCAGGTGCCACTCTTGCTCGTCTGTCAGAATCCCAGCCACTAACCACTGGGATAAAAGGGCTTGTTTGTGTAGCGGGTGAGTGCGCCCATAAACCCTTCCCTGGGATCAATCAGGGATCTCCAGTACACCTCTGACACCCCCCCGCACTGGGATGCTCGAGGTGCACACACCAGGATTTGAACCCGAGACCTTCGCTTTGATACCATGTCAGAATCCCAGCCACTAACCACTGGGATAAAAGGGCTTGTTTGTGTAGCGGGTGAGTGCGCCCATAACCCCCCAAGCCAACGTGCCTGTAACCCTTCCCTAGGATCAATCGGGGATCTCCAGTGGACCTCTGACATCGTCCTCGTCTTCGTAGTAGTAGTGGCGTTCTGTAAGGGGATCGTTATACCCCACTTCAGGTTGAATTAGCTCGCTGGCGGGTTCTTCCTCTTCGTCCTGTGAGGTAGACCGTGGGCGACGTCTTGTCGCCATGTTCGCGATTACGTTCCAGGTAGCTTTTGTTTGGGGTGCTTGTGTTTGTTGCTGCTGTTGCTGTGCAGGAGGGCGAGAAACTTGGTGTTGAGGCTGCAAATTACGAGCGTCTTGTCGGCCGACCTAATTGTTATGGTGAGTGGAGTTTGGATGGCGATAGTTGGACCAGGACTTACATCGGTCCGTTGAGTGTCCAAAGACTTTGCAAATTTTGTAGTAGTGGCGCCGGGGTTGTCGTCGCTCTTCACGATTGTCAGCGTAGAAGGCGATGCACTCTCGTCGTGGCGCGGAACTTGTCCTGCTCAAGTCCATGTCCTGTTGTTCGGTGAGGAGAGCGGCGCAAGGGGCGGCCTCTGAAATGACCCCTCGTTGTCGGAGTAGCGCTTTGCAGGGCTTCCACTCAGGCCCGAGTCCTTTAAGAACGATGTTGACGAAGATTTCTTCTGAGATTGCGCTTCCATGCTTCGTCATTTGATCATGGATGAACCGACAGAGGTTGATGTATGAATTTGCTTTCTCCTCGTGCCCCGTCTTTGTCTCCATGAGTTGCTGCAGGAGTCTGCTGGAGGTGACTGAGTCCTTCGGCTGATATACCTCAACGAGGTGCTTCCAGGCTTCCAGGGCTGGAGCAGCACTCTCTTTATAGGAGCGGATGCCGAGTTGCTCCGCAGGAGTCATATTGCGTAGCATCACGCTGTACGCCATGAGGGACTCTTCGGTATCTTCCACCGTTTTAGGATAGGAGCCGTCGAAGTAGTGGTAGATCTGCGCTGTTTGTAGGAGGAGCTCTAGCTCGAAACTCCATGTATAGAAATCTTTGCTGTCAAACGCGGCGGTAGTATTGATTTTTGAGACGTTGAGAAAGTGTACTTGCGCAGAAGTAATGGCTTGATCACTTGGACGGATAGCAATTGGTGTTGATTTTTCTGTGTCGAGGGAGAAGGTGTGCGGGGCGGTGCCGTGGCCATTTGCGGCCGGCTGAGCAGGTTCTGCTGGTTGGGAAGAGGTTCCCGAATCGCCATTCCGCAATGCTTGGAGACCTTTCTCCATGGTTGATAGTCGCGAAAACAACTGCTCGAGCGCAGCAGTGCTGAGCGTAGTCGTTGCTTCGTTTGTCGAAGCCAGGTTGGTTTGTCCTTCGGCTGTTAGATTCATTTGGCCTCCGGATCCTCCTGCAATTTTGGATTTGGAGGGTGCGCCGCTCGCCAGTTCTTGGTTCGGCGAATTTCACGGAAGTGGAGTTGCGAATAATCCCTGAGTAGCTCTCATACCATGTTACAATCCAAAATAGGACTGAGCCAGGGATCGGCTCAGGGTTGATCGCATGTAGTGTTGCAGCGGAAGTAGAGACCTCAGCTCAGAGTGAATGTAAAATGACTGAGATAATAATCGCATGCTTAGATTCGGCATATATAGAAAATAAAAAGGAATACGAAAAGACCTAGACTAGCCATTACTCCAATGGGTACATTCCCTTATTCCAGCGAAGCTTAAAAAAAAACCGTGCGGCGCGGGAACCCGTTTTCAAAACTGTTCCCGCCTTTTCCATTTCAAATGCTTTTTCCTGCATCGGTCTTGGTCTGACGGTTGCTGGTATCTCTTCGACTCTTTGACTTCTTGACTTCGTACTCGGTAAATTCGGCTCCTGCGGCCTTCTCATTGAATTTTATATCGTAACGGTTGTGTTTCGGTTGATGGGTAAAGTTTGATGCTTATTGGAATAAGAGGGGGTGTTGGAATTATTGTTAACTCGGGTTGCTTTAATAACCATATATGTAGTGTTGGATCTACACTTTAGTAGTGTACAATACAGTAGCATAGCTGAAGCACACAAGTTTTTGACCAATTTACGGTACTGTCATTTGCTATGAGGAAATCACGTGTTACAAATGATTTTTGCCCAGTTTCTATGAAGAAGTTACGTGTTAAGAATGATTTTTGCCCGAAACGATTGTTTTTATGACACACTCATTTAAATATTGCATTGATCTGTTAGGGCGGGTCTATATAGTACGTCCAAATACGGTTAAAAAAGGTTTAGGCTTAATATAGAGCAGTCTACTTAAAACAAAGGATTCCTTCATTATGGATTAAGTTTGATGCAAAGTCGTGGTAATTTAGATAAGGGGTATTAGAGGAAGGTAGAAATGGTGGAACAAAGAAAGGGTGATAGGGAGAGAAGAGTTGAAAAAGAAGAGAAGGGCCGAAGGAAAGGTGGAAAGAGAAAAAGAAGAGAGGAAGAAACTAAAAGAAGGAAACACCTAAGGACGAGGACACCCCAACAACCCGCACCACAGCGCGGGACACAGCCTTTCAAGCACAGTCGCTAAACGCCTACACATATGCATCGTACATATACTGCATGTCTGCCACGCTCTCAAAGCAGCCAGCAATGTGATGCCAACTGCCCTGCCCTGCACCCAAAGGGACTGGTGCGGGCATCCACCCATCGTCTGACCCTCCCAACTGCCGCACCGCGTGCTGTACAGTATAATACTCTGAGCCTGCGCTCGCTGCAGTGCCACGGAAAGACGTGTAGTGAGTCCGGTCTTGAAAATCCGTGCTGACGCGTCCCCCCCCCCCCCCCCCCCCCCCCCCCCAAGTCTTTACGCCGCTGTGCAAACCGCCGCGCACAAAGCCCAAGAAACTGCCTCATTGGCTCGCTGAGCAATCCAAACGTCTCCACTACACATGCATAAAACTGTGGCGGTAGTTGTAATCCCTCTAGATGCGTTGCCCAATCCTGCAACTTGTCCTGTACTCGTCTAGCTGGTGCAACACCTATCTGCACTGGTGCCACTCGTCTAAGCCCGGCATTTCCCTGCTATTGTGGATCTGCAATGGAGACGTCAACCAACACCATCAAAGTTTTTTTCTATATCGCGGCAAGTCAGGTCTGGAATGCGGGCTGGTGTCCCTATGCGGCCTGTGCGTCCAGCCTGCCTTTGCTGCTGTACTGGCTGCTGTTGTGTTTGGTCCCTATGTGCCTCCTCCCTTGTCGTCTCTGCCCCTCTATCCCCTCCCCCACCCACATGCCTCTTCCCATCCCCTCTCCCAAACCCCAAACCCCCCGGCACCCTCGCCCTATCCCCCACCTCCATACCCTCCCCTCCTAACCCCTGCGCTCCCGCAGTCGTGTCCCCCGCCACCTCCTCTCTCCCTCTCTCCCCGAACCAGCCCGCACCCAAAGGCTGCTGCCCCTGCTGCCCCCACTCCTATACCCCACTCGCCTGCCTCTCCTGCCCCTGCTGAACCTCCTGTTGCTGGCTGTGCTGTCCTCTCTCCTCTCCCCCCCCAACCTGCCCCTCCCGCCTTTGCTGGCCATGCTGTTGCTGGTGCTGTTGCTGCTGTTGCTGCTGCTGCAGCTGCTGCTGCTGCTGCTGCTGCTGCCCCCTCTCCTCTTCCCCAGTAGCCTGCCCCCACTCACCCTCCTGCTGTCGCCCTTGTTGACCCTCCTGTTGCTGACCCTCTTGCTGCTGCTCTTGCTGTCCTCTCTCTTCTCCCCTACTAGCCTGCCCCTCCTGCCCATGCTGGCCCTCCCGCTGTCGTCGCTGCTGTTGCTGTCTCCTCTCCTCCTCCCAGCCAGCCTGCCCCTGCTGACCCTCACGCCGCTGCCCTAGCTGATCCTCTTGTTGCTGCCCACACTGATCCTCCTGCTGCCGCCCCCGTTGACCCTGCTGACCTTCCTGGTGCTGCCGCTGTTGCCCTCTCTCCTCTCCCATACAAACCTGCTGCTGCTGCCCCTGCTGGCCCCGCTGCTGTTGCTGCCGCTGCTGCTGCTGCCGCTGCTGCTGCTGCTGCTGCCGCTGCTGTTGCTGCTGCTGCTGCTGCTGCTGCTACTGCTGCCACTGCTGCTGCTGCTGCTGCTGCTGCTCCTGCTGCTGCTGCTGCTGCTGCTGCTGCTGCTGCTGCTGCTGTTGCTGCTGCTGCTGCTGCTGCTGCTGCTGCTGCTGCTGCTGCTGCTGCTGCTGCTGCTGCTGCTGCTGCTGCTGCTGCTGATGCTGCTGCTGCTGCTTCTGCTGCTGCTGCTGCTGCTGCTGCTGCTGCTGCTGCTGCTGCTGCTGCTGCTGCTGCTGCTGCTGCTGCTGCTGCTGCTGCTGCTGCTGCTGCTGCTGCTGCTGCTGCTGCTGCTGCTGCTGCTGCTGCTGCTGCTGCTGCTGCTGCTGCCGCTGCCGCTGCTGCTGCTGCTGCTTCTGCTGCTGCTGCTGCTGCTGCTGCTGCTGCTGCTGCTACTGCTGCTGCTGCTGCTGCTGCTGCTGCTGCTGCTGCTGCTGCTGCTGCTGCTGCTGCTGCTGCTGCTGCTGCTGCTGCTGCTGCTGCTGCTGCTGCTGCTGCTGCTGCTGCTGCTGCTGCTGCTGCTGCTGCTGCTGTCCCCTCTCCTCTCCCCCACTAGCCAGCCCCTACTGCCCCTGCTGGCCCCGCTGCTGCTGTCGATGCTGTCCCCTCTCCTCACCCCTACAGGTCTGCCCTTCCTGCCTACGCTGGCCTAGCTGCTGCTGCTGCGGCTGCCACTGTTGCTGCTGCTGCTGCTGCTGCCGCCCCCCCTCCTCTCCCATCCCATCCTGCCCCTCTCGACCCTCCTGCTCACCAGCCCCTTGACCGAGCCCCCCCGTGCTGCTGCTGCTGCTGCTGCTGCTGCTGTCCCCCCAGTGTCCCTGACTGTCCCAGTACCCCGTCCCCCGTCCCCAAGAGTCCCTGCAGCCGCGCTCTAGCTGCCTCCAGGTGCAGGATCAAAGTGGTATCCTCCACTTTCACCGCGAAGCCTGCCTCGGAAGCAAAGTCCCGAAGCATGTATTTCACGGTGTCGTGTATGACCGTAGCGACGCCGAAGCAGGAGCACCGCACTACGTGGTGCGGTACCATCAGGTTGTGGATCGCCTGCCCACAAGAACACCGACCTGCGAGGGCAAGTTGGGGGATAGGGAGGCCGAGACGGAAAGCGGAGGCCACCTGCCACTGCGCCTCTGCGATGCGCAGCGAGTCTGCGTACGGCACTGCCGTCAACCACGCTGTTGAAATCACAGGCAGGAATGAATGAACTATGGAAGAGTTGGGTACAAATGTCAAACCCTAGAAGGGGTTGTACCCCATATAGGCTACCCCACTACAGCCTAGACATATATAGCATATATAGTCTGACACACCCCCATAGGCAAAGTGGGGGAGAGCAAGGGGTCACAAGACCAGTCAAGAGAGGAAACAAAGCAAGCTCAGGGTGGATCACAACGTCACCACACATTCTGAGCACAAGCAAAGGGCCACAAGGCCAGTTCGCATGCAGAGATATATATGCAACAACAGCAGTACAGTGATCTCTACCTAGTAGAGCAAGCAAACAGGTATATGATATATAGATCACAGTACAAGCAGAGACTACAGCAAGTGTGGAAACGTCGGCACAAGGCCCAACAAGGTACAAAAGCGCTGATGATCACCAGGCGAAAGTGCCTTGGTGAATATATCAGCAGTGTTGGCCCGAGTGGCCACGTAACGCAGACGAAGCTGACCACGCTGCTGCAACTCTCAAGCCAGGAAGTAACGTAGAGCGATGTGCTTCGTTCTGTGCTCCAGTCTGTGCTCCTCACACAAGGCAATGGCAGCCTTGTTGTCGACGTACAGCACTGGAGGAGAACGAGGCCGCTCTCCCAGGTCGGTCAGCAGGTAGGTGAGCCAGCGTAACTCCTGTGCAGCCATGGCTGTGGCGTAGATCTCAACCTCACAACTGGAGCTGAGAACTGAAGACGAGCGTGTAGAACGCCAAGAAACTGAACCAGAGCCAAGGCTGAAGGTGTAACTTTGCGACGACCGCTGAGTAGCCTGGTCGTCAACCCAAGAAGCGTCTGAGTGCCCAGTGAGGACAACTGGGCTCTTCCCTCCAAGCACTAGCCCCATGCCTGATGTGCTGCACAAGTAGCGCAGTACCCTCTTAGCGGCAGCCATGTGCTCAGGTCGGTGCCGACCAGGAGCCACGTAGCGAGCCAGCAGACCAAGAGGGTACGCGAGGTCAGGACGAGTGCAAGTCATCAGGTACATGAGGCAACCAACTAGCTCTGGGTAAGGACCACTCGGCTCTACGGACTCATTCGAAGGCAGAGCTGAGAGCGAGTGACCTATAGCCAGAGGAGTGGCCTGTGCTGAGGACCAGGTGAAGCCGAAGTGCTGAAGGACCTGCTGCACCATGTGTGACTGAGTCAGTGTGATGGTGCGGCGTGCTCTGTCCCGGGTGATCTGCAAGCCAAGGTAGCTGCGCAGTTCACCCAGGTATGTGCACGTGTGTCTCTTCTGCAGCTCCGACTTCACGTGGGCGAGAGCCTCAGTGTCAGCAGTGGCAAAGACCAAGTCGTCGACGTACACGAGGATGTAGAACGGCGGCAGCGAAGTGTCGGTGCGCAGAAACAGCGACGGGTCAGCAGTAGAAGGCGCGAACCCAAGAGCCGCAATTGTAGTCCTCAGTGTGTCGTGCCACTCACGTGGCGCCTGGCGGAGACCGTAGACCGGCCGCCGGAGGCTCCACTGGGTACCAGGAGGGAACGACCCAGTGAAGCCAGGAGGGCGGTGCAGCCAGATCTCCTCGTGCAGGTTGCCCTGCAAGAAAGCAGTGCTGAAGTCAAGAGAGTGAAGCTCGTAGTCACGCTGAGCTGCAACGTGCAGTAGCACCCAAAGAGTGGTCATCTTCGGGGTGGGGGAGAAGGTCTGGAAGAAGTCTACTCCCTCTCGCTGACTGAAGCCTCGAGCAACGTAACGAGCCTTGAAGACAGGCGGAGAACCTGGCGGCCGCTTCACCCTGAAAATCCATATGCCACTGACGATGTTCGCCCCAGGAGGGGGAACCTCGTCGACGTAAGTGCCAGTGGACTTCCAGGATGCCATCTCTGCGTCCATGGCTGACTGCCACTGAGAGGAGTACTCACCCGCGATCGCCTCAGCGTAAGAGCGCGGGGTCGGGATGTCTGGTGCATCCGGGTCTCCCTCAGAGGCAAGCAGCATGGCCACGAGATGAGGTACAGCGGCTGCAAAGCACTCAAACTCCTCCTGCCTGTCCTCAAGGACGTTCGTGCCAAGAGCACACTCACCCCCAACGGACGGAGGACAGACAGACTCAGACTCAGCAACAAGACTAGCAGCGTAGTCTAGACGACAGGCAGCAGCAAATTCAACCAACTCAGCGACCAAGGCAGACGCAGCAGTGGACTCAAACGACGGGTCAGTGACAACCATGGCTAGTAGACGCGTGACAGTAGAGTGAGCAGCACGGGTGCGGTCAAACTCAGGCTCAGGAACGGTAGGCAGAGAAGACGCAGGAGGGGACGGCAGGGGAACTCACTGCGGAGGAGAGGGAGGACGACGGACAACGAGGTGGGTGCCGGTGACAGCCGGCTGACACGAACGAGGAACACGACGAACAGGACGACCCGAACGGACAGGTGAGACAAGACGCGACGCAGGCTCACGACGCTCAGTAAGACCCCCTGACTGCTCAGTGTAAGGAGAAGGGGCAGGCAGCGGTGAGCCAGGCTGTAACGGAAGACCAGTAGACGAAGGGAGACTAAGAACCTGGCGAAGCACAGAGTCAGGCGGCGGCTGAGACGACGGAGCAAAGAACCGGCGCGGCTGGGCAGTGTCACCAGCTCCAGCAGCTCCACTACCTCCAGCAACTCCAGAACCCTCAGCTCCCGCTCCTCCAGGACCATCTCCACCAGCAGTAGCACCCCCAGAACCGGCACCTCCAGCCCCAGGGTCTCCAGCCGCAGTGTCTCCAGCAGCAGCACCCCCAGACCCAGGGTCACCAGCAGGAGTAGCCTCCGGCTCAGCAGCACCTCCAGCCCCAGCAACTCCAGTACCTCCAGTACGAGCACCTCCGGGACCAGCACCACTCCCAGCTCCAGTGATAGCAGCAGAAGTACCTCCAGCGGCAGAGCCCCGAGCTCCAGAAGCGCGACCCTGACGGCGACCGTACCAGTCGTGCAGCTGCTGTGAGGTGAGAGGCACACGCGGACGAAGGCGGCCACTCCACGGAGACCGCACAGCAGCAGACTCAGAACCCTCAGCGCCAGCACCCGCAGTAGCTCCAGAACCTCCAGCACCAGCACCCTCAGCAGCTCCAGAACCCCCAGCGCCAGCACCCGCAGTAGCTCCAGAACCTCCAGCACCAGCACCCTCAGCAGCTCCAGAACCTCCAGCGTACCACTCACCAACTGCTGTGGGGAGAGAGGGGGTCGACGACTAGGGTGCAGCGGCGAAGCACCAGCGGAGCGACTGCGGGTACGGCCGCTCCAGGGAGACCGCTCACCAGACCCCACAGTGCCCCCAGGCGCAGCACTCCCAGACTCAGAACCTCCAGGCTCAGCACCTCCAGACTCTGCACACCCAGGCTCCGCACCTCCAGGCTCCGCACCCCCAGGCTCCGCACCCCCAGGCTCCGCACCCCCAGGCTCAGCACCCCCAGGCTCAGCACCCCCAGAAGCAGCACCCCAAGCAGGACCTGAGTCACCAGTGACCTCAACCGGCGGAGGCAAAGGAGGAGGGTCTACCTGAGACACACCTGAAGGAGCAGGACCGGGAGCGGGGAGGGGGTCTACCTGGGTAGCACCTGGAGCGAGAAAGAGCGGCGGGGGGGGGGGGAGAGGGGCAGTGCGGTAGGGAAAGAGACGGTAAAAGGGAACCGACTCGTCAAACGTGACGTCCTGAGAAGGGAAGACACGGCGCGAGGTGGGGTGGTAAAATTGCCAACCAGGCGCGTCAGGGACAAAGCCAAGGAAGACCAAAAAAAAAAAAAAAAACAAAAAAAAAAGCGCAAACGGCCACAGAAAATGGGGGGCAGCCGCATGGACCATGGAGGTACGAGCGACCTCCATGACCAAGCCAATGCGGCGCTCAGCAACCCCATTCCCCTGCACCTGCGCCCTGAAGGGATGTCAAACGGGCAAGGTGCAAGGGGTTAGTGTGATGGGCCCGGACTGACTCCAAGGCCCGCGCCTCCAAGACGCGGCTCACTCGAAAAGAGAATCAGGGACAGCACAGACACAAAAGTGCCAGGGGGGGAAGAGAGAGAGGATGTCACGTGGGAGGCCCTCCAGCGCAGTCCGCAGCGATCGATTGATCTGGTCAGAGTTAATATAAAATGACTGAGATAATAATAGCATGCACACATTCGGCTTATATAGAAAATACAAAGGAATACGAAAAGACCTAGACTAGCCATATACTCCAATGGGTACATTCCCTGATTCCAGCGAAGTTAAAAAAACCGTGCAGCGCGGGAACCCTTTTTCAAAACTGTTCCCGCCTTTTCTATTTCAAATGCTTTTGCCTGCATCGGTCTCTTGATCTGACAGTTGCTGGTGTCACTTCGACTCTCTGACTTCTCGACTTCGTACTCGGTAAAGTCGGCTCTTGCAGTGTACATGAATGCCTTCTCATTGAATTTTATATCATAACAGTTGTGTTCTGGTTGACGGGTAAACTTTGATGCTTATTGGAACAAGAGGGGGTGTTGGAATTATTGTTAACTCGGGTTGCTTTAATAACCATATATGTAATGTTGGATCTACACTTTAGTAGTGTACTACAGTAGCGTAGCTGAAGCACACACGTTTTTGACCAATTTAGGGTACAGTCATTTGCTATGAGGAAATCACGTGTTACAAATGATTTTTGCCCAGTTTCTATGAAGAAGTTACGTGTCAAGAATGAATTTCGCCCGAAATGATTTTTGGGTTGCGTAGCAACCCTATATAATCAGTCTCACTTTTTGGGAATATCATTTCAAGAGTAATTTTTAAAGCACCCTTTGGAGCACCCCCTTGAAGAAAATAATGTCCAAGAGAATGCCTCAAATAGTGAATAATAAAAATCACTCTTGA